CACAGCCTAGATGTACTACAGTGGTGCAGCTCCACTGATGTACAGCCATATTGTAGGCTTGCCCAAAGAGTACTACAAACTTAATTCCCTTTATAAGAATCCCTTTCTCCCATGCTACAGACACACCTGCACTCTTCATAAACTATTAATAACAATTTGGACCAGTGTCCCACAAAGTGAGGCTTCTTAGGAAAATAATCAGCATAGCAGCATTGCGCAAGAGGGTTTTTCTTGTGCAAGAAGGGGCAGTGTAGACAGCTCCTTCTGGCGCAAGCGCCTCTTCTGCAAAAATGGTGGCTCATTAGGTATGCAAATGAGGTTCAGCAATATTCCACGCTTAGCCTCATTTGCATATTTCTCATACAAGAAGTCGCAAGTGTAGACATAACCTCCGATCACTATCCCCTTCAAAGCTCCAAAACTTGAATTCATCCACCAGCACCACCATTCACGTCTCTTAGACTCACGAGTGATCTGTTCTCCTTTGGGAAAGCAGCAAGAACTGAATCCACACAGGTACTTAAGCAATGTTCCTCCTAGCTCCCTAGTTGCCCTGAATAGAATCCTCATCCCTTTGCTAGGGCACCCAGGCTGCCCATTCAATGCACAGGGGAAACTAGGTCACCAAGAAAGGGATCCCAATGAGCCAAGAAGTGGATGGGAGCTGCTTAAATTGGTCACAAGTGAAATGAAGAGGAGGGGTTTACGCCCAGCTCAGCAAAACATATTTAAGCACCTAACTCTGAACATCTAGGTGCCCAATGGCTGGGTAGCACCTCCTTTCACTCAGGAGTCTCAACTGTGAAACCTCTCCTGGAGTTAGGTGGCTGAGAGATACCCCAGAGCTGGCTGCTTAGGGCATTCACTTGGGATGTGGGAGAACTAGGTTCCAATTCAGCCAGGGCAGGGATTCAGACCCAGGTTTCCCACTTCTGTGCCCTAACAACTATGCCAGGCAGATGACTGTAGGTACTTGCTTGCACTCACCTGTCTTCCGTAGCAAGTAGCAGGTCTTAGGCATGCTCTGAGAACAGCTACCCCAGAGCTGGCTGCTTAGGGCATTCACTTGGGATGTGGGAGAACTAGGTTCCAATTCAGCCAGGGCAGGGATTCAGACCCAGGTTTCCCACTTCTGTGCCCTAACAACTATGCCAGGCAGATGACTGTAGGTACTTGCTTGCACTCACCTGTCTTCCGTAGCAAGTAGCAGGTCTTAGGCATGCTCTGAGAACAGCTATGGGTTGGGACCGAGAGGCAGAGTGGTGACTAGTTTGAGAATCTATATTTGGGGGCCATATGATGGGGCATGCATACCCTGCACGGGGCCGGAGGGGGTTAATATACTGTGGGCAGACAAAGTCCCCCGCCCCAGCCCCAGTGAGCATGATAGAACGAGATAGAAAATAAGATACAGAATATCTTACTGCCCCGTATAAAACTATGGTACGCCCACATCTTGAGTACTGTGTACAGATGTGGGCTCCTTACCTCAAAAAAGATATTTTGGCCTTGGAAAGGGTTCAGAAAAGGGCAACTAAAATGATTAGAGGTTTGAAACAGGTCCCATATGAAGAGAGGCTAATGCGACTGGGACTTTTCAGTTTGGAAAAGAGGAGACTGAGGGGGATCTGATAGAGGTCTATAAAATCATGAGTGGTGTGAAGAGGGTGAATAAAGCAAAGTTATTCATTCGTTCCCATACTATAAGGACTAGAGGACACCAAATGAAATTAATGGGTAGCAGGTTTACAACTAATAAGCAAAAGTTCTTCTTCACACAGCGCATAGTCAATCTGTGGAACTCCTTGCCAGAGAAGGTTATGAAGACTAGAACTATAACAGAGTTTAAAGAGAAGCTAGATAAATTCATGGAGGTTAGGTCCATAAAAGGCTATTACACAGGGGGTAGGAATGGTGTCCCTGGCCTCTGTTTGTCAGAGACTGGAGAGGGATGGCACGAGACAAATCGCTTGATCATTGTCTTCGGCCCACCCCCTCCGGGGCACTTGGTGCTGGCCACTTTTGGCAAACAGGCTACTAGACTGGATGGACCTTTGGTCTGACCCAGTACGACCATTCTTATGTTCTTAGGTTTTTTTAAACCACATTTTAGTTTCCGAAGGGACTGAAGATGTAAAAGTCAAAGACATATTAGAAAAATAGTACTGTGTGCTGTAAGGAGTTTAAAGGCTATTGAGATGTAGCTGCCATTATGTAGTATAGTAAGTACGTATTATTCGCCATTGTACAGAAGCTAATTGCTTGGTACATTTGAGAGATTTTTTGAAGAATAAAAGTGTACTTTTAACAAGCTTTTATAGGTTATTTCTCCTAAACGAACTTGCTTGAATGCCTCACTTTTCCAAAGTGAAAAAACTATGTTCCTAAATATCAGACACTTACTGCTGTGAGTAATCCCACCAAAGTCACTGCTTCAAATCATAAGCATTTGCAGAATCAGCTCCTTAGGCTACATCTACACTGCAGGCTTTTTGCACAAGAACAGCTGTCTACACTGCATGTCCGTTCTTGCGCAAGTATATTTACAGTGAGGCATCAGAGAGCTTCTTACACAAGAGTTATTCCTTTCCCCATGAGGAATAAGCCCTCTAGCGCAAGAAGGCAGTGGGGACGGCCCACAGGGGTTTCTTGCGCAAGAAACCCCTATGGTTAAAAGGGCCAACTTTCTTGTGCTAGAGAGCATCCACACTGCCATGGACTGCAAAAGCACATCGCTTGTGCAAAAGCACATGGCAGTGTGGACACCCGCTGTGCAAGAATTCTTGCGCAAACCAGTTCTTGAACAAAAAGCCTGCAGTGTAGATGTAGCCTTAGAGTCCTGCTCCCACTGACTCCTATGGGAGCAGGAATAAACCACATATAACTTCAATAATAACTTCACACCTCTTGGGCGTGCTGGTGCCAGTCTACCAATTTAGGATAGCACATGACAAATATATTTAGCGATGACTGGATAAGAGAGGATTTTAGTCTGACAAAATGTGATTACTCACACTGGAATGTAGCCTGGGCAATTTGGTTACTTTGATAGGATTTTAAATAAGTATTAGTGGATGGGATCTCAGAGTGATGCCTTGTGTGAAAGATGATTCTCTCAAATTCTAGAAGGGCCAAGACTTCAGTGACGTTAATGGACTTTTTGCTATTAACTTCAGCAATGCCAGAATTTGATCCTCAACTAATTATCTACAGTTAATAGGTTAATTAGCAATAATCAAGATAGTAATAAAGCTATGTGGTGATTTACAAAGCACAAAATTGTTTGGAACTTCATTTTTATGTTTGATGCTTGGTGAACGTGACAGGTCTGAGCTGGGCCCTATGGAAATGTATTGGGTTCAAAAGCTGAACTCAACCTGGAACCTTTTAAGGTTAGGATTCCAGATTTTGAAAGAAAAAGCAGAATAAATGACCAGACTGAAACATAGCTACTGTGTATACACCATGTACAAGGAACCCGTTTGTAGCAGCCTAGTTTCTGGCAGCAGAGGATGGGAGGGTGAGAACACCTTTTTTCTGAACACATACCTAGCTTATCCTGTCAGCTACAGAAAGAGATTTTTTTTCTATAATATTTACACTAACGTTTTCAAAATCAGTATTTGGGTGATTCACCTTTGGCCTGGTTTTAATTGGTGTGAACTGGAATTAGGGATACTCAGCACATCTGGCAGGAAAAGTAATTCAGGCCCAAATGTTAAGGTATCACTGGGCTTTTAAGATCACTGGGCTCTCTCACTATCGTTGCATGGGAGAACCATAGATTTAGTTTCAAATAACAAGACAGTTGCAAAGTCCAACTACTTCTGCAAAACCTAGCAGAAGCAAAAAAAAAAAAAAAAAGTATCTGTTCACATCTAGAAATATGTAGTTGGTCTCCATGCTGAAACATGCACCCATTGGGTACGTCTAAACTACATGCCTCCGTCGACGGAGGCATGTAGATTAGCCAGATCGGCAGAGGGAAATGAAGCCGCGATTAAAATAATCGCGGCTTCATTTCCCTCTGCCGATCTGGCTAATCTACATGCCTCCGTCGACGGAGGCATGTAGATTAGCCAGATCGGCAGAGGGAAATGAAGCCGCGATTAAAATAATCGCGGCTTCATTTCCCTCTGCCGATCTGGCTAATCTACATGCCTCCGTCGACGGAGGCATGTAGATTAGCCAGATCGGCAGAGGGAAATGAAGCCGCGATTAAAATAATCGCGGCTTCATTTAAATGTAAATGGCTGCCCCGCTCTGCCGATCAGCTGTTTGTCAGACTAAATGCTGCTGGCCTCTAGGCTCTTCCTGGGGGCTTGCCAGCCTCATGGCTGCCAAACTCACTATCGGCCTCAGCCATCAAAAAGCGGGAGCCTGAGACCCACCACTTATAACTTGGCTTTGTGGGGCCCTGGATAACTGTCATGCTTGCTACCCGCTAATGCCAGCCCTAATTTCCCCCACCCACTTTGAGAATCCTACTTGAGGCCTCAATGTGAGCAAGGGTTCACTGTCTGTTGTGCAGCAACATAACTTAGGGGGCTCTGCAAATGCTAACAAGGAAAATTGCAAGGTGCATGCAGGGTTAGGTGACACTGAACAGTGGCTTTGAAAATGTCAGTGGCAGGCATGGGCAACCACAAAAGCAATTACCTAAATGACTTACATGGCTAGGTCTCACACTGAAAAGTAACTTAGTACATGAGAGCCTAATTCTTACTAAGTCAATGGGACTTGAGGTTTTATGCACTTAGTCCCATTTTCAAAAGTGACATCTAGCCACTTAACTCCTTCATTGCTTCACTAAACACTGCAAGGCCTAAGGTCAATATATTTAAAGGTGTTAAGTTTGGTAGTTCCTGAATCATTGTGTGATTTAGAGTGGTACATTTTAATTATATTAATATTTAAATGACACTGCCAAAGCTTTGAATTGCCCTCCGCACCCAAACTCTAAGGTATATTGAAGTCAGTAGAGTTATACCAGACTTATTTTAGTGTGAAAGCAGCATTTGCCTCAATTTATTTTATTCCTCATAATAGGTATTCCATATGCTAAGTAATAATCACATTTAACCAGCTTTACATTTTTCTTGATTAAAGGCCTAAAGTTTTGCATAAAGCCTGCATTTTGCTCATCATGAAGTAAGTTATCAGACATTTTAAAATCTGATGCATGTTCCAAGTTTCAATTTTCTTAAACCCCCAGAGAGATTTTAGACAGCTAGATTCCAGTTCAGATTTTATTTGTATACAAAAATATATTATAGAAAAAAGCATTAAAGCTTTCAACTATATAAAATTACAAATTTTCATAAAAGCAATTTTAAATTAAAATTTAAGCTATATTTAGGAAATATAGCATCAGCACACTTAAATTATGTGATCCTGCCTGCTGCAAAGTAACAAAACTGGCATCAGTTAAATGCTTAGAAAGGATGACTATGTTCAGAAGATGAATATGTTGAATAGCAAGATTGACAGTTGTCAGACATGGCAGCGTCTTTTAGTAATCCATATCATTAAGTCTTCATTGCAGCTTCTAAGGAATTATCTGTAGGCAGGGATGTTGTTGCCAAGAATCCTTTTACTTCACATACCTGTAAATATGAAAGAGATCCCAGTTGCTACACTTTGCAAAATTACACTTTAGTGATGCATCAAAATGTCACTTATCCAGTTTCTTAAACAGTCTGCTACTGGACATGGAAGGAAGACATCACAGTTATAAACCTTAAGAAAATCACTGCTCTAATGCATGTCTTGGGCATCTGCACAAGTGTAGGTGGTGCATAACCCCAACTATATCATAGGACTCAAAATATGGAATAGTACTAGAAGGCTGAAGTTGGCCTTTTTCACTGCATTACGAAGTCAAAGATAAAGCTGGCATGTGAAAGTAGGGGTGGCCACATTGCAAAAGAGTAATTAGAATGCACTAAAGCAGGATCAGGTGGCAATTGCCCTTTCAGCTTGCCCTGAACTAGGAAATGGACACTCTCAGTCAGTATGAAATAGGCAGCCCAAGACAGTCACCTTCAACTCAGCTGTGAAAGCCCTAGCATCAAAAACCCAAAGAAAAGGTTGTATCAGACTCTCTGGTGGTGGTTTCTGTCTTCCTTGAATACCAAGTCTCCTGTCTCTGCCCTTCTATAGGTTAATAAATTCAAGCTCAGTGGTAAAGAAGCAACTAGTTCTAGAAGATATCCTTTGGAAAAGCCAGTGAATAAGAATAAATACTTAATTCTGTTTCCCTTATGTTAAGATACAAGTGATTGGACAGTAAGGGCTAAACACAAATAAGCCAGAGATAACACAGGTTTATGATAATAAATGAAATTGTCCTGCATTAAACTCAAACCAAATCAATTAAGGCTTAAAACATACAAAGAAGGGGAAACAAAGGATTTTTAAAAACCCACACAATTTGTGCTAACCCTTTTATCCTTTGTACTGCTTAATTAGGGCCCAGTCCTGTTGTATGTGGGCTCACCCAAATGAACAGCACAAGCAAACTGTGAGAAGGGGAATAGATGTAAAATAGTATTCAAAAAAGTGTTTTTCCATAGCCCGATGAAAAGCCAAAGAGCAGTGTAACTGAATAACCGATTGTAAGGTAGTCACAAATACGGTCCACATTTAATGGAGCCTAGATCCATTTTTTAAATTTAAAGTGTGGACTTCCTTTCTATTAACATTTTGGAAAGATAATAACAGCAGCCTAATTGTTACATTTATACCAGGCAGTCACAGTTCCTGCCAACTATTTAGACTTACAGAACTATGAAACACAATCCTGTTTTTTGCACTGTTAAATAAGTGTTTGAAGAACTCTTGCTTGCATAACTGGCGTACTATCAAAGGGTATGTCTACACTACCCCGCTAGTTCGAACTAGCGGGGTAATGTAGGCATACCGCACTTGCAAATGAAGCCCGGGAAATTCAAATCCCGGGCTTCATTTGCAAGTGCGGTATGCCTACATTACCCTCCTAGTTCGAACTAGGAGGGTAATGTAGGCATACCGCACTTGCAAATGAAGCCCGGGAAATTCAAATCCCGGGCTTCATTTGCAAGTGCGGTATGCCTACATTACCCTCCTAGTTCGAACTAGGAGGGTAATGTAGGCATACCGCACTTGCAAATGAAGCCCGGGAAATTCAAATCCCGGGCTTCATTTGCAAGTGCGGTATGCCTACATTACCCTCCTAGTTCGAACTAGGAGGGCAGTGTAGACATACCCAAAGAGACTTCAATACATATAGCATTTTCAGGACATAACAAAAACAATCATAAGTGAAAGTGTTAATCAAAATCAAATTGAGCATGCCTGCTAACCTGAACATGTACAAAAGGAGGGAGTGGAGTAAATAGATGAGAACATCGATGTAGCATATCCTCACACTATCAAAGAGCAAACGAAGGAGACCTAAAAGTACGAATACCTGGGCAGAGGCAGATCTGTTCACATGTCCTCTTCCACAACAAACGAACTCTAATATTTAAAGGAAATTATGTAACAAATTCTGTTCCCATCCCAACCTTATCTCCACTGGTGCAGGCCTGATCAAAGAGTTTGCAGGGCCCAAAGCAGCACACTGACAGTGGGACCTGGCTGGTGGATGCTCTAGTTTAAGTCAAACCCAGTTGAGGGGTGAGAGTCCAGCCAGGCAGCACAAGTCCCTTGCTGGATATATTCCACAACTCCTCTAGACTTAAGACAAATTTGAACTGGCATGTATTTCAGTGTCATCTGCCATGCCTTTACTGTTCACTATACCTCATAATACACTACTGTAATACTTTCAATGGAAGCCCCCCAAAGTCTACTAGTATAAACCTTCTCAGATCCCCAACTTGTATTAGAGACCTGACACTTATTTGACAGACCTTGAATTTATTAAAACATCTGGTCAGTATTCCCAGCATCTAGCAGAGTAAAAGACTTGTACTGAAGGTAAATGTTTTCGTCTTGGAGGTTATTGTACGATTTTCTGCAACATGAGACCATTTTAAAGATGGGTTATGTCAACTCCATGTTTCAGGAAGCTGGTGTAAGTTTACCCCATGTGTAAGACCCTCTCCCCTGTTCCTGTCCCTTACATTATGTTTCAGGATATGGGGAGGAGGGGAGATTTCTCTCAATGGAGCAGCGTTTCTCTTCCCACTCACTCTGACCAGGGCATGCCCCTAGGCAGGGATGATCCCAGACTGGGAATTTCTTCTGCCTAGCCAGGACATCCCCTCCACAGACAGGCTCCTGGTGTGGGTGAGGGGCTGTTGCAAGAAGTCGTAGGATGGGCTAGTGGCCACCTGTCTCCTCTCCTTTAAGTGAGCAGGGGCTGGAGCCCAGCACCTTCCCCCTCCCCTGTACCTATGGGAGGAGGTATGGGGGCAGGGCTGGCAAAGTTTGTCTGTGTGGTTGGCTGCACCGCACGGCTGGATAGCTCCCAGCCAGGCCAGCGAGGGGCTGGCGAGCACTGGGCAGTGCGGGACCCTGAAGGTGCGGGGCCCTAAGGCAATTGCCTTGCTCTAAGGCCAGGCCTGCACTATCATTTTACATTGTAAATACTTTGACTTCCATAATTTTAAGGTACCATGCAAGGTGAGTCTACTTACTTGCTAATGTCCTGTCAAGATCAGCAATAAAGTCTTCCAGCTCTTTTGTGTCTCCAAGCTTTGCTGCAAAATAAGAGTAAAGTCCCCACTGTATATAGGTTACAAGCACAAGTCTGTGTGTCTGAGGCAAATAACCTCTAAGAGAAACAGCTTCAATTTTGAAGGACAACTCCCAACATCATTTCCAGTAGAATCTGATCTTCTCTTGATCTTGAGAGAAGGTTCTTTGACCTCTTCCTTTAATAGGCCTACTGCAATGTCCAAATGCTTTACTAAAAAGACTGTCCTGATATCTAGCCTAAAACTCTGATTATTTTTTAGAGTTATTCACATGATAACATTAGAACAAAACTCATTTCATTTCCTTCAAAATTAGAAGTTAAGTTTTTTCCCATTACTGGCACTGGTCCCCTCCTTGCTAGTACTGAACTGTTCCTTGTGTACCTATTCTAATATTTTATCCAGTCCAGAGTTTTAATACTGCATGGCTTCTATCACTTCCTTCTAGGGATTCTACTCTCAAATAATTTTTGCTCCCAGGAACAGCTTCCTGATAGTCTAAATCTTTCATAAATCTCTGCTGCCAGTTTAATTGGAATCCCATTACTCATTATTACATTCTAGTGCCAAGTTAAATAATTAATTCCCCTTTGATATTTACAATCTTTTGATATTTCTAAGGTTATTCTCTACTTCCCCTTAGATGGCTTAAGCAAACTGAACATATGTAGCTTTTTCTTTTTCCTAGGTAAATCATTCCACATTCCCTGAAATGAGTGCTCAATTGCACAACTTTACCTTAGCTTACATAAAGAATGTAGAAATACGGCATGTCAGCATTCGCAGCTGGGGACTCCAGCTGGGGACTCCTTGGCTCCACTTGCGCTGCCCCTTTGAAGTGCCAGAGTAGCATTTCAAAGGGGCAGTGTAGCATTAATGCCTGTGATTAACGCGTTAAAAAAATAAACGCGTTAATACTGTCCTGCATTAATTGCAGGCGTTAATGCAGGTCAATTGACAGCTCTAGTTCACATATTACACTTTTGTAATAATCTTTGTGCAAAATATGCCATGTGAGGTACCATTTAAAAATCTTACCACATTATTTATATTCTTGTGTAATGTATGTGTGAAACGTGTAGTAAGAGTTAGGAACATAAACTGAAATTATGATTATGATGTGTCTACCAGACAAGTCAGGAAAGTGAGTAAACTTCTCTCTCAAATACAAAGGATACACTGACACCTCTAGCCAGGTGTCACCAAAGTTGATGGGCAATCACCTATCAAGTGATCATTCTTTGGTAACAAAGGGAGGCAGGAATAGATCAACTGGCATTTAGCAAACAGCATGGCACTTCTTCCACCGAGGCTCCTTACCTGCTTCTTCACAGCTGTAACAAACTTTATCTATGATTAATTCTCAAACATTTCAACAAGGAGCATTTCAAAGGGTGACTGGACTACAAAAAAAGTCCAAGACCCTCTTTCACTTAAAACACAAAGGAACCTTCCCTTTGACTGGCAGAAGGGGGAGATCCTGACCTGAGAAATCGCTAACCATGTTGGTGGGAACCTGCGATAAGGATTTTACCTTAAGCCAGGTCTACCTTAAATTTTAGCTGCTAGAAAGTGTTTTCTCTCTTATTTCTCTTGTAATCCTTTCTGACATTTAATATCATATTTCTGCTCACTTAAAACCTCTTTGTAATTAAATGAGCTTGTTTTATTTTTTATTTAAACTAACCGAGTGTTGTTCAAACTGAACTTTTTGATAACTCCAGTTAAAGCAGTAAACAGTTGAACATTGATCCTTTACAGGGACAACAGACTTTAACATCTAAACTGTCCAGGAAAGGGTTGGATAGTACACACCATAGATGTTGGGAAAATTCAGGCCTGGGAGTGTGTTGGGATGTGAATAATAACGAAGATTTGTTAGATGCCAAAGTGTGACTAGTGAGTTGTTGACAGGCTCCTTGGATCAGAACTATTGAACCAGGGCTGTAGCTAAACACAAACACTCAAGGTGTGACATGCATGCTGGCAGGCTGTTTGTGAGCAACCTAGTTGGGAGATACAACAGCAAGCATTGAGGCATCCAAGGTTGCAGGGCAGGTGATGACAACCCCTCACTAATCAGGATTACACCTCAGAATGTGAAAGGAGATCCAGATAAAATGAAGGTGGGCACAATTCTTGAGCTTGTACAGTAGAACTTCAGAGTTAGGAATAATCTCCATTCCCGAGGTATTTGTAACTCTAAGCAAAACGTTATGGTTGTTCTTTCAAGTTTACGACTGAACATCGACTAATATGGCTTTGAAACTTTATTTTGCAGAAGAGAAAAATGCTGCTTTTAACCATCTTAATTTAAATAAAATAAGCATAGAAACTTTCTTTACCATGTCAAATCTTTTTTAAATGTCCCCTTTATTTATTAGTAGTTTACACTGAATACAGTACTGTGCTATACCACATTTGCTTTTCTTTTGTCTCTGCCTAATTGCATACTTCTGAATGAGGAGTGTGGTTGACCAGTCAGTTTATAACTCTGGTGTTCATAACACTGAGGTGCTAGTATATGTGAAAGCTCTGTGCGGCATGAATGTATGTCTGTTCCTTTAATTGACTTAGTGTACATCTACTCTGCCATTGGGATTGTGCTTCCCAGCATGGGCAGACACCTGTTAGCTCCACTTACTCTGAGCCTTAAAATAGGGGTATGGCTGAGGTTAGCCACTTGAGTACAGACCCTCCCAGCCCCCTCGACATGTACTCAGTTGGCCAGACCAACCCACCAGCTGGCCATACTGCTATTTTTAGTGTACTGGCATGAGCAGAGCTAACACAGGTTTGCTTATTCTTGCTGGGAAGCTTGCTCCCAGCTGCAGTGCAAACATCACTCTTCAGCTAAGATGTAAGGTAACTCAAGTTATGTGCACTCCAGTTAAGACCTCAAATTATCCTAGCTCAAGTGAGAGCAGTGATATTGCAAAGAGTGACAGGACAACTGCACAGAGTGATGTGTCAGCAGCTGACAAGCTGCAATAAGTCGAGTTGTAGCCTATCCACCCTGAAGGTGTGGCTACACCGCACCATAGGTTGAAATAAGATACACAATTTACATAGTTTAAATTATGTATCTTATTTCGATCTTATTTCAAAATAGCTTATTTGGAAATTTGGCGCTGTCTATACAGCACTTATTTCAAAATAAATCGTTATTCTGAAATGTCCCTTACTCCTCTTGGAATGAGGTTTACAGGGACATTGGAATAGTGAGCTTGTTATATTTCGAGATAATGGGTGCGCTCAAGACATGGAATAGCTATTTCAGGGTACCTCTGGAATCTCGAAATAGCAATGCAGTGTAGACATAGCCTGACAGGCCAACCAATTCACATTAAAATTATCCCTGCACTCAAAGCATTTGTGTGTTCACAGGATGACTTGGGCAACACTCAAGTTGTAACATGAGTTAACTCTCTAGTGAAAATAAATACTTCCCTTGAATGGGTTTAGTAAGACACATCACAATTTTAAATCGGCCAAAAGCCATTTCCTTTAATGCTGTACATCCACAGCTAATAGAGTTGGGGGAGGGGGACCGCCTGAGCATCACTGGCTATTGCACACATTTTTTAGCACAGATACTAGTAGCGCTTGTGTTTGAAGTAGTGATATACTAACACTCAGGAGATTGTTTGCATCTTACATCTCAGTGGATGAACATTTTACAGAGATGAGACTGTACTACTAAAAGATCAGAAGAAACTTATATAGTCAAAATAAAGTTATGAGACTTACCTTTACAAGGAGTTACTGCTGGAGATGGTAAAGTCGGGATTGGAACTGACATTGTTGGAGAGTTAAGTTTTTCATCGCTGAAGCTAAAACTGTTTCTGTAGAGTGAATCTGCACCTGTAGGGCAAATTCTAAGCATGAGAAATTAAAACTAATGTTATGGAAAGTTTATAACCATAATAAAATAATGTAAGTATCATAGGTGGAGTTAGGGGGGTGTTGTGTTGCTACCCTCCATCCCCCCCCCTTAAAAAAAAAGCCAACAACCCTTCAAGCCTCAGGCAGGAAGCCTAAGCGTGCAATGCAATATTGAGTTCAGCAGAGGAGACAGATGTGCTGCTCTCAGCTTGCACCCCTTTGGTAAGGGAATCAGAGTTTTGTTCATAAATAGAAACAATAAGGAGCTCTGTGGCACCTTACAGACAAATTTATTTGATCATAAGCTTTTGTGGGCTGCAGCCCACTTCCCCCAAATATGTTAGTCTTTAAGATGCCACAGAATTCCTCGTTTTTACTGAAACAGACTAACACGGCTACCCCTCTGAAATTTATAAATAGCATGATTAACAGGTGCTTAAGAAAGAGCTGCTAGGGTATTCTCTAAGGGTTCATCTACACTTGCTCCCTAGTTCGAGCTAGGGCTGCAAATGTAGCCGACCGAAATTGCTAATGAAGCGGGGATTTAAATGTCCCGTGCTTCATTAGCATAATCTCGCCCGCGACTTATTCCTCTCAACAGCTGATTCAAACCAGGAAGTGCACCCCAGGACGTGGTAGTTCGAATCAAACCCCTTGGTTTGAACTAACATTACTCTTCATTTTTTGAGGAGTAACGTTAGTTTGAGCCAAGGAGTTTGATTCGAACTACCGCATCCTGGAGTGCACTTCCTGGTTCAAATCAGCTGTTGAGAGGAATAAGTCGCGGGCGAGATTATGCTAATGAAGGACGGGACATTTAAATCCCCGCTTCATTAGCAATTTCGGTCGGCTACATTTACAGCCCTACCTCGAACTAGGGAGCAAGTGTAAATATACCCTGTTCCAAGTTTGGTAAACTGCAAAAAGTAAGTAGTCTATAGCAACAAGTATGTGGACAAAGAGGGATCCAGTGGATATAGTATACTTAGATTTCTAGAAAGCGTTTGACAAGGTGCCTCACCAAAGGCTCTTAAGCAAAGTAAGCGGTCATGGGATTAGAGGGACGGTCCTTTCATAGATTGATAACTGGTTAAAAGATAGGAAACAAATGGCAGGAATAAATAGTCTGTTCTCAGAATGGAGAAAGGTAACAAGTGGTGTCCCCTGGGAGTCTGTACTGGGACCAATCCTGTTCAATGTATTCATAAGTCAGGGGTGGGCAATAATTTTTGCAAAGGGGGCCACTTCACGAATTATAGATAGTGGTCGCTGCTGGCTTGGGGCCTCCCCCCCAATGAAGGGGCGGGGCCTCAGACAGAAGGGGCCCCCTCTAGGTGCCATGCGCCTCTTGTGGGGGGAGAAGACTCTGCACACTTCCTCGCTCGCAGGTCTCAATTGACCCCCTTTCATAAGTGATCTAGAGAAAGGGATAAACAGTGAGGTGGCAAAATTTACAGATGATGCAAAACTGCTCAAGATAGTTAAGCCCAAAGCAAACTGAAGCATTTCAAAAGGATTCAAAAGCATTTCATAAAAGTAGGTGACTGGGAAAGAAAATGGAAGATGGATTTTAATGTTAGTGTAAAGTAATGCATATTGGAAACATAATCCTGACTATACACATAAAATGACTGGGACTAAATTAGCTGTTACCACAAGATCTTGAAGTCATTTGGATATTTTCAGAGAACTATCCATATGTGCAGCAGCAGCCAAAAAAGTAAACAATGTTAGGAATCATATAAAAAGGGACAGAGAATAAGACACAGAGAATATCTTATTGCTTCCATATAAATCTTGGTACCTCCATGTCTTGAATACTGCATGCAGATGTGGTCACCTCATCTAAAAAATAATCCTAGCATTGAAAAAGTTCAGAAAAAGGGAACAAAAATGACTAGGGATTTGGAATGGATGCCATATGAAGGGAGATTAATAAAACTGGGATTTTTCAGCTTGTTAAATAAAAGACTTAAGGGGAATATGATAGAGGTCTATAAGATCATGACTGCTGTGGAAAAAGTAAAAGTTATTTACTTGGTCCCATAACATAAGAATTAGCTATCACCAAATGAAACTAATAGGTAGAAGGTTTAAAACAAAGTATTTCTTCACATAACACACAGTCACCCTGTGGAACTTCTTGCCAGAGGATGTTGTGAAGGCCAGGTCTTTTAACAGGTTTCCAAAAAAGAGGCACCAAAATTCATGGAGGATAGGGTCCATTAATGCCTCCTAGCCAGGATGGGCAGGGATCATGTCCCTAGCCTCTGTTTCTCAGAAGCTGGGAATGGTTGATGGAGGATGGATCACTTGATTACCTGTTGTGCTTCCTGCGGCTCCCCTTGGCTACAATGGACGAAATGAAGTACATAAACAAACTGTGCCCAGTTAAAGTGTTTCTGAAAGTGTACCGCGGAAACACTTTCAGAAACACTGGTCTAGATGGTACTGGGTCCTGCCATGAGGGCAGGGGACTGGACTCGATGACCTCTCAAGGTGCCTTCCAGTTCTAGTGTTATATGATTCCCTACCCACTGATCTGTTGGCCTGGTTGGAGCCACTTCCCAAAATACAGAAGTCAAGCTACACATATGGTAAACATCTGTACCCTGAGATAAAATTTCTGGAAGAAGCATCAGGCAAAGTGCCGGAAAGCCTGTAGAACTGAAATTCATAGATTTTTAAGGCCATAAGGGACCATTAGATCATCTATCATTTCAATGTCTAAATGTTAGAACGCACTTAATCTCAGACACAATCCAAAATAAGGGTCTGAGAAAGAAATGTCAAACATTTGTGCCAAATGTATCCCTTGTGTAATTCGATCAAATTCAGTAGTTAGTTTACAGCCCTGCCCCTTGTCCCACCGAAGTCTTCATATGCCTTGTCTGAGTCACAATAGCCAGGCAAAATGTGTCCAATTGAACTGTTTTAAAAATACCATTTAAAAATTCATAGCAAACCTGTTAAGCAGACATAACCCCACAAAAGCAGGCTTAGAACATAACACAGCAGTTAATATCAATGCTGAATAAGTACAATGTGTAGTAATCTAATCACTAGGCAAAATCACATTGAAAGCAGAGATGCACATCCACAATTGGCCACTATTGGGACTAGCTGCTTCCGATACATCACGCAATCTCAGTGCCACAGGGAAGCGAAACTTCAGTTGTTCCTACCTCTGAAATGTTTTCCTTTTTCTGACTAATCTATTTTACCTTTCCTCAAAAGTCATCTATAAACATTTTATCTCCTTTGCCTATAATTCTTGATATTGCTCCCATTGCTTTTTTTAGATCTTGTGTTTTTATAAAAGAACCATATTAAAAATTATCCAAAGGGTTCTCAGATGTCCACCCATGATAACTCCTCCGTGGATGATACTTTGCACTCCTATTTTATATTATTTGTTGAGAGTCTCCTATTGCTTTCCAAAAGACATTCAGCCTAATGCCATTATAAATGGTCTTTGGCTTAGGATGTGGGGCAAAGCTTTCAGGTTTTTTCCAACAACCTCAACACTTCTCTCAAGTTAAGGGACCTATGCCTCTTTTTATTATAATGGTCCCATGATATCCTATTCTTGAAATGTATTGGTCACAGCTTCAGTGAACAGAAGAGTTGTTACTGTGTTGAAGATACCAAAAGTTGCCAGTTCCCACATTAGGAGCCAACAACCTGAAAAAGACATTTCTATGAAAACTAACACTTTAATTTGAATTCAGTAATGTAATCCATTTAATTAGGACATCTCCTAGGAGATTAATTTAAACCTCATTATGCTTTAGGAGAATGGCTGCTATTCAGTGTGGATGGCAATTTTGCTTAAGTGGAATGCCTACAGATGATTTTGGGGCATGTCTCCACTTGTCATTTAAAGTGCAAAAAGTTCCTTCTTCTGTACAAAAGCCATGGGACCATCTATACTTATCAGTGACTTCTTGAGGTGAAACTCAGGAGTTTCACTACAAACAGAAAACCACTTTCACAAGAGACATACAGTTCTTACTGGGCATACTTCTGTGGTGAAGTGCCTGTGAAGACATGTTCCTCCTATTTACATAGCTTTTAGTCTCCAGAGGCTATCCCACAGTGCCTAGATGACCACTCTGGCCAGCAGCTCTGTGGCTCTAATAAATTTATTGGAGCATGAGCTTTTGTGGAGCAGATGCTTATTTTGGGGTGCGTGAACTTCCTCCTATCAGCTACCCACCCATATGGAATTAAAATTTAAATCAAATTCCAGTATCAGAGGGGTAGCCGTGTTAATGGTCCATCTTATGAAATGGGTCTTTGCCCACGAAAGCTCATGCTCCAATAAATTTGTTAGTCTACAAGGTGCCACAGGACTTCTCATTGTTTATGTAGATTCAGACTAACACGGCTACCCCCCTGATTTCTGTGGCTCTGACACCAGTAAACAAATGTCCACTTCTCTCCCTCTGAACTGAGTACTTCCTAAATTGAGTACAGGCAGTCCCCGAGTTACGCACTTACGAACGGGGCTTTTCTTGCCCTGGAACTCGCGGGCGGCAGGACCACCCAGACACGCAGTGGTCCCGCCACCGTGTCCTCCGGGGCGAGAAAAGCTGCTCCGGGGGTCCCCGGTCTGCTGGGGGGGGGGGGGCCCCCACAGCCCAGGGGGCCCGC